CTCTCATTATTCAATAATAAGAACTAGTGAGAGATAATGTGTAATGGTGAGGTCACAAATAATAACAGGCAGAAGAAGAAGGCGCCCCATTCATCTCCCGCTGGATGAATGGTGGTTCTCAAGTCAGACTCCTATGTGTCACTGACTAAACACAACGCTACTCCAGTCACTTTCCCTCACGTGAAACCATCCACTCCTGTTTTACTTTTCTCATCTCCAGTATATTTCAGTGGTTTCGTATTTACAGAAAAATGCAGTCCTCCCCATCCCGGCCACACCTTCCACACCTCCTCATTGCTGCTCCTGAGAGTCATCTGTCTGGTTACTTAACTCCTGGTTGTAATGAGTGTAACGCTGCAGCAACATATTAGTCATACAACAGGTTGGAGAGGAATGTGAATGACAGCTTACCACGAAGTGAATATCTACAGTTGCTGCTGCTGTGATACACATGCAAGTGTCTGTTTAAAAAAAAAGAAAAGAAAAAGAAGATTCCAACTCTCGGGGAGCTTTAACAGCGATCCCACAGCTCTGATACACACACACAATGAATTTACAATGCTCTCACATCTTATCTCGCCGCTCCCTTAAGCTATATACTCTGTTGCACTAGCAAGTCTGTTATCACTTCAGGAGTAAAATACACTACTCCACTTTCATGAAAAAGTTAATAATTGCTATACAAATTTAGCAGCGTTAGGAGAGGGGCTGAAATATAAATGCAGTGGCTTGAACACACTCGAATTAAAAGCCTTTAGCTAATACATGACAAGTTTATAGTAATTATTTCTGGAAGTGCTAATGAAGAACTATGTCATTTGGCATTATTTTTTCACACCTCATGAGCAGGGGCCCAGTCAAAGCTAAATTGTTCTACAACATGAAGAATAATCGCTTCTTCACCCTTCATGCATAAAAAGCCCAAGACAGACCAACCGTAGGTTAAAAAGACACCAAAGAAATGGTCTTTAAGGCAGAAAATGAGCATAGTGGAGGGACAACCTGGACATCAACTCCCAGAACAGATCACACTGTGCAATCCCTCCTCACAGACAGGTGAGGGGAGACATGAGGTGCCAGGAGGAGGGTGCAGTGGATGTGGCTTTAGAGGGGAGCAGTGCATCACCTCCTGCTATCACTCCGGACAAAACCGGAGACTGAATTGGAGAGCTTCCCCTGCACCCAGGATCAACTGGGGAGTATTAATGGATTCAGAGTGGATCAACTGATGGCTATAGTATTTCACTGTTGTGACTCAGTGTGCACTGACAACCCAACACACACATCTGCATGTGCACCACTGTGGTGCAATGCAGATGTTTACACCCAAGTCCTGGTTTGTATGCTTTTTGCACAGAAAAAAGGTCTTGTGATCAATGTAGTTTTTATCAAACAACATTAAGCTGCAAATTTAGATTTATACAAAGAGGCACTCAAACAGTTCAACCTGAGTTTATTGTGACACAGCCTAATGAAGTGTAACACAAGAGTTAGCACTCAATCACAAATTCATCGCCTGTTTATTTGAGCACATTTTCACTCAAGGTTAAGTCAAAGGTGTAGAGAGATAATTAGCAGGAGGAAAGTCAGGGTTTCTCACTATACAGGCAAGTAAACAAACCCCTATACCTCTTTTTTTCAGGAAGACAGCTTTAAATGTGTTTATCTCACAACAACAAGCAAGAGATCACGTTAGTCGCTCTGTCCACACCTTCACCATCTATTTGATAGTCAAACAACACTGCATACTATTCATGTAGCACCAATATCAATTATCACCAAGGCACACTCTGTTTGCTCGTGTGTTGCACGAGCGGAGAGTGAAGCCACATGCTTTATCTAACAAAGAAACTTAACAAGGATGAGAAAAATAGTTTTCTGATTTCTGCTAGCAAAATAAGACACCATTAAAAAAATACATTAACAAATTGCAAGAAAGATATTTAGGTTTGAGTGAACAAACTTAATTCTCTTATCAAACTAATTCCTGTTCTTCCAATCAAATTTAGACAATATAAATTAAAGAATTATTAATAATCATTCTACATAAATCTATTTATTTTCTCTGATCTTTCATAAGTTTTGTTTGTTTTGATTATTTCACCATCAAATGATTTAACGGTTTCTATTTTAAAACTACAATTACATAACAAGCTCAGGTGATATTAATAATTAAATAACATGTGTCAGAAAAATGTGTTGCTCGCTAATTGAAAAATAGTTAATTAATTTAAAATGACAGTTGTCTCAGCACTTAAATCCAGGATAAATTAATTTCAAGTAACTTACATTATTATAACACTGATCAAATCTATCATTTTAATAAAAATAACCTTAATAATTACTAAAACTCTATTTGAATTTATGACAGATACAGTACATCTAATTATTCTTTATTTTCCATGACAAGAAGCTTCAAAAGCTTTAACAGATAAAATCAAAAATCTAGTTTACTTCTGCTGAAATTACTTATATCTAAATAATATGAAAGTTGTCACTT